CTAACTGCAACCTCATGTGAGATCTAGAGCCCAACCCTAACTAAACGGCTCTCAGATTCCTCGTTTTCAGAAGTGGTATGAGATAATAAATGCTTGTTTTAAGCCGTTAAGTTTTGGGGAAAACATGATATGAAGCAATAAATAACCACTAGACACCAATTGTTGCCGTTTTAAAGTATATCCACGCATTTTTAGATATCCCTCCCATTGAGAGATGGGGTGTGTGTTTCCACCCCCTTGAAACTAGGTGGGCTTTTGTGAATGTTTCAGCTAATAGGCTACACTATCAGCAGAGCTGACACTATGTGACTTCTGAGGCCAGGTCATAAAATGTTTCCGTTCTGCCTTGCTCTCTAGAGTACTTGTACTTAAAGCCTTCAGCTGCCAGGGAAGCAGTCACCTGCTCTGGATCTGCCATGTTGTGAGGAAGCCCAACCTAGCCCTGCAGAGAGACCACAAGGAGAGGCCAGAATCTACAACAGGAAAGAGTGATGCCAGGCCAGCCCCCACTGCTTCAGGCTCCAGCCACAAACTAAGGACATTGGCATAGGGGACCCCCAGCCAGAACCACTCAGCTAAGCATTTTCCTAATCCTTGACCCACACAAACTATGAGAAGTAATAAAATGAGTGGTGTTTTGAGCCACTAATGTTTTAGGTGATTTGCTAGGAAACAAATATCTGTCATAAGTATACGTGGCACTCACACAGAGTTAGTTTCCCCCCTGCTATCTTATGTAGTCCTCACAACTGCACTGGGAAAAACATATTCTCATTTTACAGTGATGAAACAGACTCCACAGAATATCTGGATTGCCCAAGGTTACATGACTAGCAAGTGGCAAAACAAAGATTCCTGGTCAGGAACTCTGACTCCAGGTCCAGTGGTTTTTCTGCTGTGTCATAGCTGACCCTCAAAGTACACCAGAAATGCAAGAAAAATACACATATCTGAACACACATAGGCACAAGTGGAGATCAAAGAGAATCATTCTGCCCCAAGTCTCAGCAGCCCTGCCCTGACAACAGAAATGTAGGGATCACATGGGCAGCTAGCTGGAAATCACATAATTAGGAAGCGATAAGAAGCACAGGGCCAAAGAGGGCCCGCTGCTTCTATCACCAGATATCTCAGCTGACAGCCTGGGCATCGTTACAGAAGAGCGTTCAGAAATACCCATCATACCCCAGAGAAGTTTCACAGCAACAAGAGGTGAGGGTGACATCCTTGGTTACGGGGCCCTGCATCTGACAGCATGTCAAGACTACCTTCTGCACTTGTAACCACCACAAGTCAGATGAAGGGAGACTTGTATTTTTGATTCCACTGACTGACATTTCTTGTTTGCCTCTACGGCTTTTTCACTAAAATTTATAGATACCAAGCCGTGGAGACAGAGGAAGTATACTGTTAATGGGTAAGAAGCCAGCATCTCAAGATAAATGTGCACCCAGAGGAGATCACTTTGTAATAAGATGCCAGGAGATCAAGACTTTCAAATTCATCTTTGGAAGATCTGAACAGGACCAAGGTCTCACCACAGACAAATTCTACCAAAAATCACTTCTTAAGGATCTAAGAAGTAACATCAATTAAAACGAACAGAGAGAAAAACAAATACAATCTAATTTTCAGGTGCAAGTCAAAAGACTAAAATACAAGTTATAGTAACAATCAGCAACCTCAAGGTCTGGATTCCTATATTCCTACATTTCCTTTCAAAGAGCACGGGGATAAAGAGAATCCCATCAGGTATTTATGTCATATCTTCAAGCAGTGGTTTCCAAATAGTATCCACTGTTTCAGAATCACCTAAATAGATATTTTTTAATACTCATATTCTTGGGTCCTACTCCCAGAGATTCTCACTTAGTAGGCCCAGGGTAGGTACCATGAATATGTATTTTAGATACATAATTCTAATGTACAACCAAGTTTGGGGACCACCAGGTGACCAAGAATGTTCACTATAACCATATCTGTTCATGTAGAAGCAGAACTCCAACATGTTAGTGGAGAATAAGGCGTCCTTGAATAAAATCTGTCTTTTCCAGGCTCCCTTGCAGCTACATGGCAGCTAAAGGCAGCCCTGCAGCAAAGTGCTGCCAATGGGTTCTAAAAGGAACTGACTGTGAAATTTCTAAGACATTTTCTTAAAGGAAGGTTAGATGCCCCACTTTAATGCTCTTTCCTTCCTGCCAGCTGGAACGTGGGCAACATGACTGCAGCTCTGACAGTCACCTTGAGGAGAATGTAGTCGAGCAAACGGAGTGAAAGATAAAGGGAGCCTGCCTCCCCAACCCTGACAGGACTACACCAAAAGCCTCCAGACTTCTGAACCATAAAAAGAAATAAGATGCAGAGTCATTGTTCCCTGAGATTTTTTTGATTAATCACAATGAAATCTATGCTAATACAACAAACTGTCTTAGAGTCTGTTTAAGTCTCTAATATCCACCCACATAATATGAGGCAGGAGCTTGATTTTAATCCATAATTTACCAACAAGGAACCTGAATACAGAAAAGTGATATAACTTGCTCGATGCTACATGGCTATTAAGCTAGCATGTGCCAGGATTCAGACTCATGTCTCCCAGCTTCGAAAGCCAATAGTCTTTTGCCTACACTGTTGTGCGAGGCACTCAGGAGAAAAGCCCTCTTTAAAAGTAGAATGTGTACCTCTCAGAAAACTGAGCTGGGGAAGGAAGCTGCTGTCCAGACAGGAAGAGAAACCCCCCATCCTCTCCCTCAGTTCCTCTTATCCCCCCACTTTTCCTTTTCTATTTTTCACTTTGTTGGTTTTTCACCAGTTCTTTAAGTAGGACTGGATCATAGTAATGTAAATACACTCAAGGAAAAAAGCTCTCCCCCTGGGCCTTCCCACCTAGTTAGCCGAGTTCCCTCACACAGGTCAAATGGACGCCTTGGCCATCACCTGAGAGCAGAGAACCTGCAAGGAATCAAACAAGCCTTCACCTAGGTAAGAACAGAAGTCCCCCAAATTAGGGCCTTCCCCAAACCAGCCTAGAGCAAGGGAATTTGTGAACATTGCCGAGTCCCCATGTTCAAAGGTGTAAAATAGAGATGTTCGGTAATACCGGCCACTGTCAACGGCTGTGGAAGATTAAACGAGATTGGGCCTGGTGTGTGGCAGGACTGAGTAAACATGCAGCACTGAACATCACTAACATTTGCATTTCTCTACTTATCAGATCTTTCTCCACTTCCCACCTAAGGATACAAGCACCAGAAGAAAGAAAGTCTGTCTCTTTTCATTCATTGCTATTTCCCAGCCCAGAGAACAATGTGAGATATATAACAGAGGCTCACTAAGTACCTGTTGGAGGGAGGAATGAATGAGTGAGTGAATGGTGAATGAACGATAATGCAGTACAGCCACGTCCTGCCCGGGAATCCAGTGCTTGCCGGCCAGTTCACCACATCCTGGATTCTTCCTGCTGTAACAATGCTTTGCTTCATGTTTATCCTACTCACGTGTACATTCTCACTGGATATCCTCCATGTACCCTTTTCCAAATCCCTACCACTCCAAGCAGGCTCAAGAAACCACGGGAAATCCTACCATCGCCAGGGCTTTCCCTGACTGCCAGTCCAGTCTCCTCACCTGCCACCAGCATGCCACAGGACTGGCCTAGCTCACCCGACAAGCCTTATGTTCCCTGTGACAGGCCGTGTAGTATCACCAATAGTAGGAGTAATCCCATTCACGTAAACTGTAGATTACAGTTTGCAAAGTGTTTTCTCTTCAGGAAGTCTGAAATCTAACATTCTGAGAACGTGGCCAGGAAATAAATAAACAGGACACATGCCCTGGCTGGTGTGGCTCAGTGGTTGAGCATGATCCTGTGCACCAGGAGGTTGCCAGTTCGATTCCCGGTCAGGGCACATGCCTGGGTTGTGGGCTCGATCCCTGGTGGCAGCTGATCGATGTTGCACTCTCACACTGATGTTTCTCTCTCTCTCCCTCTCCCTTCCTTTCTCTCTAAAACATCGGTAAACTATTCTTTAAAAGAAAGAAACAGTATATAATATCTGTGTCTAACTAAAAATAATGAAAATTGCCCATAACGGAAAACATACTATGTACCACACACAATTTGTCCCTTTATATGGACATCCCATTTAATTCTCACAATTATTCTAAGAAGCTGGTATTCTTTTCTCATATTTATTGATGAGACATCTGGAGTTCAGAGAGGGTAGGTAACTTGCTCAAGGACTCACAGCAGAAACCAGCAGAGCTGGGATATGATCTCAGGCTTGTGTGTGTCTCAAAAGGTCTTGCTCTTGCCAGGGCTGCTCTAACCCCTGTCATGGGAACTAGAAGCAGCAGCAAATGAGTGAATGAAAGCGAGAGAGAGAAAGTGTGTATTCAGTATACACACAAGCACGGCTGCATGAGCGAGGGAGGTGAGGGGTGGCAGAAAGGGGACATGGGTAATTTTTCCAAATGTCCAAAGAGTTGCTAAGAAATAAAGCACACTCTAAAAGGGGGGAAATGATACGAAGTATAAAAGTTCAAGCCACTGCCTGAGGTGAGCAACAAGTCTCTGGTTCTGAACTGTAGAAGCTGTTCGTAAGGTGAGAATGAGACCCAAGGGAGCTGCCCAAGTGGGCCACAACCCCAGGTGCACCACTCACACTGTAGTCTAAGTAACAGGGGTCCCCAGGATGACAACTAGGTTTATAAGCCTGAGCAGATCCAAATGAACTGCAAAGAATAGAGAGGTGGCTTTTGGCTCCCTTTAATCTCTCTGTAGTGTAGGCTTTCTTATCCCCATTTTTTTAGAGGGCAACACGGAGGCTCAGAAGCTAAGGATTTGTCAGGCCAACAGCAGAGTTAGTGACCACATCACATTCACGCCCAGGTCTGAGTCAAGAATGCCAACCCCGTCCAGGCACCTGGGGGGGCTCCTACGGCAGCATTAGCAACGGGAGGGGGCAGGTGGGCCCTGGGTGGCTCCACGGGCTCTTTACCTCACACTTCTCCACGACCGGCTGCTGCCCACACTCGGAGCTGTTGCCCGCCACGATGCCAGCACGCAGGTTCTCGCTGTCCCCGGTCCCCTCCTCCATGGAGTAGGTCTTGGAGTGGTTGCCACGGCGATGGGCGGGGGCCCGGCCCTGGGCCAGGCTGAGCTGCCTGCGGAGGGCCCGGTTCTCCTCCTCCACCTCTCGCACTCGCACCTCCAGGCTCTCCCGCTCCCGCTGGCCGGAGGCCGAGTACCGGGGGCTGTGCGGCTGGGACTCCAGCGGCGACAGAGACACGGGCTTCCCATCTGCAGGTGCAGAAAGACCAGGGAAGAGTTAACTTGGAATGAAACACACCCCAGCCCCTCCACGTACCCCAGACGTTCATTACTACAGAGCGAAGCTCCTTTCACAATCCCATTTACAAGGGAAAACAGATGGAAAGTGGGTTACAAATAAATGCATCCAGACTGAGCTGGGAACAAAGTTGAGAACAGAATGACTTATTGCAGTGATAAAAACTAACATGCTGTTTAGAGAAGACAATCATAATATAATTTTTCCTAATTAAATGCACTGTCTTCTTTCCCCCTACTTGGCGTGTTACTAGCTAGACATTCTTGTTATCAGTAAAGCATTGTGACTATGAAGGAAGAGGGAGGTTGAGAGGGAGAAAGAAGGTGGAGGAAGGGGGGAGGGGTAGGAGAACATGGAAGTGGGCAAGAAAGGAAGAGGGGAGGGAGGGAAAATGACAAGATATCCATAATGATTATGTTTATTTAGTTTTTCCTACGTGAACTCCTATTCAACCTTCAAAACCCTCTTTCAGAAGCATCACCTCCCAGGGGAAGCTTTCAAATTGCAGGCAAAATATCCCTCAGCACATCCCAAAAGTATTTTCTACATAAGCACTACAAAAAAAAAAATACCTGTTATGCTGTGTTTGGTATATTATTTTATCAAAGATTGTCTATGAAGATTAGGAGCTCAGGAAGGACAAAGACCGGGTCTTACTTATCTTTGCAGTAACATTATCATAATATCCAATAAGTGCTGGAAGGGTGGATGCATGCGTCCATGCCAGGACTAAAATAATTAAGGGCAACAAGGGAGAAGAAAGTAGGAATGTAATCAATCTCCAGGTTTTCCCAGAAAAGCAGTTACCATTAACTGAGTGCCAGCAACACTCCACTTAAGGATCCTACACAAGACGGGAAGGGGGCTTTCAGTCACACAGCGGGAGAGCAGTGATGTCAGAGTGCGGGCCGGGGCTTCCTTACGCCCGAGCCCCTCCGCTTTCCGCTTTAGTGCAGCTTCAGGGTAGACAGAGGCCCCAACTTAAAAAGAATTATCCTGTCAAACCTCATCTCCCAAGGATGCTTAGCACTCCGCCCCGCGTACAGCAGGCTCAATGCAAGCTTACCATCAAGGAGCCCCAGCCACACAGCGGAAGGTGTCACTCCTCTGCTCCCAGGCCCCAGAAACCCCGGGATCCAGCTCGCCCGCTGCTGCCTCAGGGACCACTGAGCAAAAGTCCCATCTCCAGCAAATTACCCTCTCTCGGCCGCCTGCCAGAAAAACACTCCTCTTTCTTCCTACTTCGAGCTTTTCTTCTTCCTGCCCAGACCCCACTGAGCTTCCAAACCGTCCCAGAGAGCGTGCGACTCAGAAAACTCGAGGATCAAAGGCTGTGGTGAGCGACACCCCGCAGCTCCACCTGTGCCGCGTGCCCGCAGCCTCTGCCCACGCTGTTTTATGTGCTCCGGGCCTTCACAAACACGGCTCCTTTTTCCCTCTTAATCACCTCGGGGTTAGGCTCCGGAGCTCCTGGCCCTCTCCCATCAATGCAGCAAACAGGACTCGCTGAGTGACAGTGCCCGGGACTACAAATCAAAGGCCGGGGTGAGTGCGTGGGGACGTGGAACCCCAGGTCGGTTAGGGTTGCGTTGTCGCTGAGCCGGCCAATTATAAGCTGTGACCCAGGCTTTTGAAGCCGGTCTCCCTGTTTGGTCAAACCAAATTAGTTCCACCGAGAATGAGAAAGAGGAGGCAGCTAATGGCAACTGTGTTTTCTCAGCTGGCATCAACCCTGGAGCAGGGCGGGAGAGAGGAGCACCCAGCTTGGCACTGGGCAGGGCAGAGCCGTGCTTTGCGTCGCGCCTGCGGCAAGTCTGCACCGTGCCGGGCAGATCACACTGAGGATGTCGCAGGTTATCACGGCACATGCAGGTGGCAACTGGCATCCCCACTGCAGATGAGGAAACTGAGACCCTAAAAGCTTACGCCGTGTTCCCACCGGGATGCGAGATGAGAGTCAAAGTGAGTGACAGGAACAGGTGCTCTGGGACACGGGGTCTCGGGGAACATTTGGGCGGGAATCTGAGAAACTCTGGAAGCCCCCAAACGAACAGCAAACGGCAGCTGTAAGTGTGTTCTCTGCAGGGGTTACTTACATGCTCTGGGTTTCAGTAGGCCCATCTGTGAAATGGGAGCAGAAAGGCTCACCTTACAAGGGTGACGGAAGGCTTAAGATACCAAAATGCAAGCACCGAGCACTGTCACTGGGAGTCGCTCGGCACAGAGTTGTTCCGCCAACTGCTTCCCAGTGAGGGCCGGTGATGTTACAGGTGAGACGAGTTGCTAACAGTGAAGGCTATACCCTTTCTGAACACGGGGCTGTTCTGAATGGTCCATGGGGCCAAGCAGTGAACAAAGCATGGCTTACTCTGACACGTGGCATTGCTGAGCCTTCCTGCTCTCAGCCTGAGGTAGGTCAAAGTCCACCCAGGGCCATACAGACGATCAGGCAGGTTCCCCACGGGGGCCTCATCACTGCCCTGCTCCCTGCAGAAAGCCCCACGTTTGGCACATTTTAATTCTTTGACTATGTGCTTACAAATAAAGGATAATTATGCAACCCCTCAGCAACCACAATTCCAGGGATACTGCAGGGGAAATGCTAGCAACACCCTGGGCCCATTTCTATGGACCCTTCTTAGACCCCCGAATGGCTCCAACCAAACTTAGCTCTCAAAGACTTCCAGGTGTTTTCTGCACTTAAAACTCTGTAGATTCATCATCGATGAAGACACACAAAGTTAAAAATGCCAGGCCTCAAAGAGGGGAAGCCACATGGGAAAAGGCAGCCCTCAGGCCGTGCCCAGTGCCCAGGGCATACGCAGCGCCCCGTCAACGGCGGAATCGTGATTTCTGAGTTGTGTGTTTGTTCGACAGGTACATTATCTTGAGCCAGTTTCTGCCTCTGAAAGGGGGTGTGGTGGAGCCGCGCTGCAGACCCTCTGGGCTCTAAGGTCCATACTCACTGTAGGGATGGACCCCGCATCTCTAACCGGGCTGATCAATACAACACTGAGCGGCCAGGCCAGGAGTTCATCCAAGGGGACCTGCTGCTCTGCCGTGTTCACAGCTCGTTCTACGTTTATGCATCCCGACTCTTGCTTTTGTTCCTGGACTACTCATCTCTTTGGCTCCTGACCTCGTTGCGGCAGCTTCTCCTTAATCCTCTGGGGTGGGTAGGTGGGAGGGTTAGGACAGCGAAAGGCCGGCCCCTTGAGGTGGTCTGTCCTTCTCTGTGGTGTGTTAGGGGCTCTGGTCTCTCCTGGAACAGTCCCCTGCTTTGTGCACAGGCCGTCATTATAAAGCCCATCACATGGCACCTGGGCCTCTGAAAGCACCTGTGCCTACAGCAGTATTTCTCAGTCAGTGGAGAAGAAAGAGCCCCCCCCCCCC